GTCTCATATTTTTCGTGAACCGAATATTTTCTTAGAGATGAAGACTTATACAGATGAAACCATCATTTTTTAAAAAATATTTCTTACATTTCTGATATCTCAGTTAATGACTAAATGATTCATGGCATAGATTTTAGATAGACTCCTATCTATTATTTAACCTCAAAGGGATCATCTTCGCTTACTAAGCATAAGGTAAATCTACCCGAAGACTGCAGAATTGGGTGAAATGTCAATCCTCGATTCGACTACTAATCATCATGAAGCAAATTACATCATATTAAACTAATATTAGTTATACGTAGTTTATTTAAGGTTGCTTTCTACATAAGGACAAGTTATAGCCTTCATATAAAGTTGAATTGTATTTCATGGGGATCATTAGTGTGTTCCCTCGTATTCATCAGCTGCATATGCTGACATCTTATTGAGTTCTAGTATTTTCATACAAGAAAGTAACCTTACCATCTAGTAGTTTTAATGTCCGTGCGTTATTTATACAGTCAATGATTCAACATAATCGCCATCTATTTTAAGAATAATCGATAGCTGTTAGATGGATTTTTTCTATTCCAGCTTTGTTGATTCAAAGGCACAAATTGGTAACTGTGATTGATCAATTCAACTCTGAGAATTAACAACAAGAAATATGAAGATATTGCTTCCATGAATTTGTATCAGACAACACAAATTACTGGAAAAGTAACATGAGCGTTTACAAAACATTTAGTTTATTGATCAAGTATGCATAGATGGTCACTTGTAGGGAGAAACAGTTTTACTTAGACAAATCGTCACATCCTAACGACTAGAATCCCTAAAAGTTCCCTCAAAGTAGCTTATAGAATGACAATCTTCAGTCTCGAAGGCGCTCAACCGCGTCATTTATTCACCATCATAGATTACACTCATTAACCCTACCATGACTGGACTACCAATTTCTTTCTATCTTCAGTAACGTTGTGTTCTACCACTGAACATTATAATAGTCACATAACCCTGTTGAATAACACCGGACTTGATACTGGATGATGATTGAAGTTGAAATAAAAACTCGGACCAGAGACCACTGGCCTTCCGACCCAGTACTCTACCAGTTGAGCTACTAGGCCTGACTGCTGACTAGGTTTTTATTTCACCTCAACCATCAAAGGTTTTATTCTACTACCACATGAATTCGTGATGCATTACTGCCGGTTAGCAATCGAACTTAGTAGCTCAGTTGGTAAATTACCGGGCTAGGAACGCGGTGGTCGCTGGTTCGAATCCCACCGCGGTCCGAACTTCCAATTCACCTTCAATCATCACTCAGTATCAGCACTAACTAGTCCGCCAAACTACGGCTATCTCAACTAGTCAAAATGATAATAACCGACTGTTACTTGTTTCTAACACAATAATACTACTGTACAGCTTTAGAGAACGAAATCGTTGAAGAGAACATTTTTTTACTGTTATTTCTTCGTTTCAAGTTTCTAAACTTGGAAGCCCAATTTATTTAACTTGTACACGTCTATGGATCTAAGTAAACTCATGATTTTCGTAAATTCTTAAAAGATCGTCATCAGAGAGTTGTCTTTGTATTACATATGATCCACATGACACAAAGCCACATCTAACTTGAATTTCAAAGAATTATCTGTTTAGGGCTATGTGATAGAGTATCACGGTTGAAAATAAACAAAGTTAGCAGACTTGATTAATGGTAAATTTAAATTGGAGATAAATAAAACATGATTTGATCCCTTTTTATAAAGATTCGTTTTTGTTTATCATCACTATGAACCTTTGATCATATTGCTGGTATACTGTTGATCTTACACATACTTTTCACAAGGTGACTGATCATTGGATGTTGGTGTTTCTATTATTTCTAAGCTTCAGTTGACTTCCAGTTTCTGTTCTTTTAAGTAAAGGAGAAATAGCTCAATTATCTTGAAGTATGAACCAATAAGAATTCGAAATATGCTGAGTATTTGTATGCTGACTAACACAAAAGCTGAATTTGTATAAGATATTTAATAAGATAATCGTTTTATTCCATTTTTTTAATCATCAAACCCTTTAAACTTGTCCAGAAATACTAAAGACAGCAAATAAATCTCATTTCTAAATTCTAACTTAAATTTAGTACTTAATCATTTCAGACTGTTGACTGTTAGTCTGAACAATTTAGCCTTTTGTAATCACCATGGATGAACTTGGTGCCAGAAGAAACATAAATCTACTAATGGTAGATAATGGTTAGTAGTGGACTCCAGGACATGCGTTTCGTCCTGTTTAGGGTTCATTAGCTGGATGCACCTGCCTCCAGTGAGCGACATTGTTCCCACTGGGATTAGAACTCGAGACCGATTGCTTCAGACTTCAGAGCGTTATCCACTAGACCACTAGGTCACGAAAGTCACTTCTGGTTCAACGGGTATAGTTTTTATGTTTTCAGTTGTATTATCCCGTCGTTGAGTGGACTGAATCGATCGATTTCTATTGGGATATGAGCTCTTTCCCGGATGTTGTAATATTGCCTGTAGTTTCACTTCGGTAGTAGTGATAGATGGTGGCGTCTGAAGCGATCGGCTCCAAGTTCGAGTCTCATTAAGAACAATTTCGCCCACTAGCAGCCAGGCACATCCAGCTGATGAATCCCAAACAGGAGAAACACACATCCTGGATTTCACTGCTAGCCACTATTCATCATTACAAGCAACAACATTAAAGGCGAAATCTGCCTAGATTCTGCTAATAAATATGAACCCGAAGAGATTTGATTTCACAACAGTTTGCTTCTTTGCATTTTTGTATAAATAACAATATGGAGGAGGAGTAGACTGATATCCATCAGAAGTACGATAATTGATTACCTGACCGACAGTGGCTACAGTGGTAAAACTGGTTCAACATTCAAAGCCATCAACAAGAGTGAGGAAATTTATCGAAAAAATAGCACATTTTTGTCTTCTGTCTATTGCAGAAAGTTGTACTGTATGCATAAAGAAACCGAAATTGTGTACGTAAGAAACTTGTACATTTGACTTCATTAGCAATTATACATAACAACTTTGTCTTTCTCTCTTGGTATTCATAAGTTTGATATTTTATTGTGTCGTTTGACAACCCAACACCATCTTTATATGTTGCACATTCCAAGCCACTCCTTACCTTGACAGATAATGCTCAGGGAAGCTAGACTAATCTAGAAGTGTTCAGACTGATCAGAATAAGGTGTGGCACTAGTCTTTGAAACCTCTGATAGGTAATCTCAGCCGTGTATGGAGGTGTAGACTTCCTGGTCGGGGTCCCAAAGACAATAGGAATCAGTAGTTGAGGGTTCTTGGTAAAGTGGTTGAAAATCGGTCACAATGGAACAGATGTACTCACTTTTTAGGGTCTAGGGTCTACAACAATATTATCTGATTATCTGTCTATTATTTTATTACCACGCAAACCTTGATCAAACTTCATTTCGAAAATTATTTTGGTTTCTTTGCCGTTTTATAATTATTTTCACCACATATCATACCTGTGATTTCTTGATACCAATTTAGAAAAGTTATAGTCTTTATTCCATTTGAAGTATATTACTCCGTTTAATTAAATATTTTTTCTAACTGTGCAATATAATGGAATGTAAACGGCGGCCTACTTGAATCTTGGGCTACCAAAATTGATCCATTAAACTCTTTCTTTTCAATTTGTTTTAATCATTTAAATATATAACCTCGCTCAACAAATATACAGAAGAAAAAGGAGATGGATTGGGCATACACTGAGAAGGCTGACTGGGGACATCACATATCACGCCAGGCACTCCAGTGGAACCCACATGGTAAGCGACGAGTTGAGCGTCCGAGGAGAAAGTAACATGGAGGAGATCATGCGAGGAGGAAATCAGAGCTTGTTGGCTGTCATGAAACCAGGTTGAAAAGATTTCAGAGAAGAGAGTGTAATGGAGGTGTGCTAGTGAAGCTCTATGTTCCATTAGGAACCCAAGGGATAAATAATAATATTTAAATATATCCTTTGAACGTACTATGTACTCTAGCACATTTATAAATTTCTTCAGTCAATGATAAAGCAGAGAAAAAATGTTACATTTCTATCCATTGAAAGATTAGCTTGAGTTATAGATTTTTGTACTGTCTAAATGAACAGCCATCACCAAAATTACGCTTACATTTCTGTTGATTTTTCATTATGGACTGGATGCCTATCCACAACCAGCTGGTTGTTTTATATTATTGCTAATGTTAACATCATTCCGATGAAATAACCACTCCGTTTGAGATTACTTGTCTGGAAGTGAATTTGTTGAAAAATGAAATGCTGAGAATTCCATACTGTCATACATTATTGTTTAGAATAAAGTGATTATTATTATTATTATTATTATTAATAACGAAGCATTTAAAATTGCAATTGTACAACTGTGAAGAATGAAATTGTTGCTGAAAGTATACATTCACACAGAATTCAATTTCTTTATTTTGATATTAACTAGCTCTAGACGTTAGATGAGAGTGGAATGATTCGATGCTCAGCAATACAAAAATCTCCTTTCTTCATACTTCTTAAGAAGCTTGAATCATCATCATCATTTGTCTCTTGGGTTCCTAATGGAACATAGAGCTTCACTAGCACACCTCCATTACACTCTCGTCTCTGAAATCTTTTCAACCTGGTTCCATGACAGACCATAAGCTCTCATTTCCTCCTCGCATGATCTCCTCCATGTTAACTTCTCCTCGAACGCCCAACTTGTCACTTACCATGTGGGTTCTACACGAGTGCCTGGCCTGATATGTGATGTCTCCAGTCAGCCTTCTCACTTCTGCATACAATATTGGTACTTATAGTTGATTATTTACTCAAACAATAATAGTTAGGCTACTAAATTCTTTATTTTATTAATCAGTTTAAACTTATCCTGAAAATATAAAAACTGTCTATTCTCTAATGCTATTTTGTTACAGTTATCAAAATGGAACTAAATGTTGGGCTAAATGAAGTGGTTCTGTCGAATAGGTACTAAGAGGATTAAACCTATTTTTTCATATAATCTTTTTTGAGGAAATATACACTTTCATCATTAATATAGGTGTAAAACTTTGGCACTATGGTAGAATTATTTACTTGACTTTTGACTACTTCTAGTGCCATATTGACTAATATTTTAGTATACAGACTAGTTACATAGAAGCTAACCATTTTTTTCATCCTCTTCTATGTGTAGGTCACTTTTAGCCTATTGACTAACTTTCTTTTCTTCCCTTTTTTTTATTTTTTATTCCACATTACAGGACGAAGTTCAGATGGTGGAAGTCCTTGGTTAGGTTTATCACAAATTGATAATACTCGATTTGATAATGATCAATCAACATGTGAATTACTTCAGAATACAATTGAACAAGAAAAATCAGGACATATACAAATTAGAAGACGACGTGATTATCATAGTTATGATAGTTCAACTCAATGCAGAAATAAACGTAAACAAAAAATGTGGTTTCAGAAGTTATGTGGCTGTGTTCGAGCATCAAGATCTCATTGAAACATTCTTATTGCTCATATAAAGTTGATATATATACATATATTTTGATCGATTCGTGTTTCGTTTTATTTCATTTCCCTTTTTTTTTAAGTTATGAATTTTTATTGCCTAACATTTTTCTACTGAATAAGTGTATTACTGTTTTTCGAGTTAATAATGTTTAATCTCCTACTTATTGTACATAAAAAAAATACAGGATATCCTTGCTTTTATATACTACTTAAATCACAATATTATAGATACCAGAGTGTATCGGATATGAACTCTATCCTATTTCATTTGTTCATTCACGAATTTCTTCAGTCACTTAGTAATTCGTGAAATGAATACATTTATATTTTTTCTTTCTGACTTTCTTTTCTCTGAGATAAAACATTTTCGCGCCATGACTAATTTAGTCATGTAACTCAGGTAAGTACATAAATCAACTGAACATTGAACAACTGACTAACATAAACACACACACACACACATGCATATACAAATACATTTAAAATAACACATCAAAATAGTACTTACCTATTTCGACATTTTCTCTTTTCAACTATATGAAAGTCAGAATTATTCATAATTTTCATTGTAAAAATAATTGTAATTTATTTTCTTCTTTTGTCTTTTATAGCATTTTGTCGACTTTCCTTTCAATTTTGTTGAGGGTAAATTTGATTATACTGATAATATCAATAATTATTTTTAAAAAAAAAATGGATAAAGTTTATTTACTTACAGAAATCTGAGTGTTAAATTTTTATTCACTGACTGAAAATCATTATGTAATGCACTAAATAATCATTTGAAGGTTAATTTCTCCTTAAAATCAAATGATTCAAGAAATCTAATCTTCATGAAATGTCTCATAATTGTATCAATCAGTCTAGTTAGATTACCTTGCAATAAAGCGATAAATGAAGTATTTTCTAATGCTTAGAAAAATCACTTTTTCTCTAAGTTTCAGACTAGGTTAACTGTACAAATACGTTCTAATTGGCATGAAAGAGGCTGTCAGTGCTATCTCTAGTGGTTCAATGCAATGGATTGTATAGTCGGTAATGGTGATTAAATATCCACGTAGATTTATAAGCTAAGATGGAGGCTAAACTTTTTTTAATAACTAGTTCTTCAAAGTGACGTAATTATAGTTGAACCAAGTAAGAATTTATGGCAATGAAGTTATTTCAGTCATTTATTTCGCTTTACTCTGAAGTTCTTGTAGTCATCTGTTAGCTTCAATGAACTTGAATTTACATCACATGTGCATCAATATGTTGAGAAGACCACAAAACTTTTAATAAATTCTTTGATGTTAAAAGATGAACAAAGTAAATTACGGGTTGATGGTAGAGTACATAATCTTTAAACTTGTCTTATACCTCTGAAGAGGCAGTGAAGACGGGACTTCAAGTGAATACAGAGAAGACAGCGGTGATGAAGATACCCAACCAATCACTATCAACGGGAGAAACCTAAAGGAAGTAGCCTCCTTCACCTATCCAGACAGGCAGCACTGTTTCAACTACAGGCGACGACAGCACAGACGAGGACGTGAAAGTCAGCCAGGATCGGAAAGAGAGCAAGACACGCCTTACTGCATTAACCTGAAACCAGTGTGGAGATCTTGTGCACTCCACTCAACATAAAGTGTGAACAAGGTGCGCATTTTTAACACCAACGACAGTCAAGTCAGTGCTTGTTTTTGATGGTTGGGAGACTTGGCGCGTTACGAAAAGGATTTTCAACAAACCACAGACATTCATCAACAACTGCCTACACTGGCTCGTTACTGAACATTGATCAGATGGTCAGGATAATGGGAATAAGCAACAAGGAACTCTAGGAACGAACCAAAGAAGCAAGAACCTATCGCTCAACAAATATGCAGAAGAAAAAGGAGATGGATTGGGCATACACTCAGAAGGCTGACTGGGGACATCACATATCACGCCAGGCACTCGAGTGGAACCCACATGGTAAGTGACGAGTTGAGCGTCCGAGGCGAAGTTAACATGGAGGCGATCATGCGAGGAGGAAATGAGAGCTTGTTGGCTATCGTGAAACCAGGTTGAAAAGATTTCAGAGAAGAGAGTGTAATGGAGGTGTGCTAGTGAAGCTCTATGTTCCATTAGGAACCCAAGGGATAAATAATAATAATATACCTCTGAAAACGTTCCCAAGTAATATATCTGTGTATCGGTAATCAGTATTAAATATGAGTAAGTGGATGCTAAGAACAGTGTTGTTTGCACAAAGATGAACTGCTTGAAAGAAATGAAAAAAAGATTCTTTTCATCCTAAATATGAACGAATTTTAATCCTGCAATCATTTAAGTGTTGATTGAATCTGTTTCAATCTAAACATGAAGATGATGATATGGTTTTGTAAGTACCAGCTATCGACACCAAACATTTTAAGGTGTTTTATTCATAATGAACCGACATAATGCTTAGTGATAGTGAGTAAACTACAGATAAACGCTAAGCTGAATGTTCTAGCGTTTTAGAAGATACTTGCTGAATTTCAGATACATTAAGAACATTGTTATTCACCGGAATTCGAGTACATACAACTAACAAGTCAAAAATAAGAGAAAACACTAGTCTTGAAATCCCTGGATGATCTCATTGATCATAAACTTCATAGGGATCAAATGGAAGCACAAAATTAAATCGAAAGTGAAACGTTTTATGTACAAATTGTAATGTGTATGTTAGTGTAAGATCGAATAAGTTAAAGGTATCCTAGTGACGAGTAACTTAAGTGTGCATGCAAGAAGTAGGATTATAGGAAGAAAAATGTACAAAGGATACGGAAGTTGTACATCCATAAGCCTAACTAATGTAATATAGCTTCGAGAAAGTTTGTAATTGCATAGTAGATCAAAAAAGCTATAGCACTGGCTTCCGTTAATTCAAGAGTCACAACTTCGGCTTCTTTAAAAGAAGTATTATAAATTTATTGTTTTAGAAGGTTTGGATTCAGTTGATCTTGATGAATTTTTTACGTGTATATTCTAGTTCGATACGTGCTACTTTGACGTGGTAGGCAGGACTGCAGGTTATAATGATCCCACAAACTTTTTGGCTGCAGCACTTGTTCTATAAGGATACTGGTTAAATAAAGTAACACTCTCACAAACCCTATAGTATGTGAGTGATGACGGTGTCAGCTGTTCTAGTCCGGTGTTAGTACAATCAGATATTAGTGCGATAATCATAGAAGATCAGTTTGTGACCGGTTTCCAGTAAACTTATCAGAGACTGCAGTTACACAAACCCAGTTTGTTTTTCACTTCCCACACCTCGCAGAAACAACTTCCACAGTGGGAAAAACCGAGATTTATCAACTGTACGCATGTTTCCAATTGTAAGAAAGTTTGTCCAACCATAAACAACCAGTATTATGTTTGTCACCTTCATCCCCTTTGCTTCCTGTTACCAATATTAAACCTGGGATAACTACCTCAACGTCTCACTCTGCCACCATTGCTAAAAATCAAAACCAACATGAAATCATTCCTAACCAACTGATATCACGATACCATTTTCACATTCTAATTTTCCCCGTACAAGCCCTTTACCAATTTAGAAATCAGACATCCCATTCTGGAATCTCAAAGAAATCTTTAGCCATGTAGGAAATTTACATTACATGTGTCTGGTGACTGAGTGGTTAGCTTCTGTCGATTTTCTGATTTGACGGGTTTCTTAAGGTGATTAAAATCAGTGGTTGCAGACGCTTGATGGCATGGTGATTATCGGTCCCAGTGGTGTAGATATATTCACTTGTTGGCGTCTAGTAAGGTTTGGATATTTTCAGTAACCTTCATTTTTAAATTCTGTTTCCTAGGAAACAGGTTCGTTTACTATGATATCACTTTTTCCGCCTATATATTCTTTGCACTGTGCTACTAAATGTAGTTACTTGAGCCAGTGTGGTTCTGCTAATCATTCTACGATGATTTCATCTGATTTTGAAGGCGGACAGTAAATTGCTGAAATTACCTGATCAATTCTGTTCTTAGAATTTGTTAAAACTCAGTGTACCTACTTCAGACTGTTCATTACCTCTGTTGAACCTATGCTTTGGAATGGTAAGAGATGTTTCTGAGTACACAGACTTAAATATCTAGAACAATGACTTACTCTGATAACTCAAAAAGGGTTTGAATCTCAAACTCACTGTTACGTAATAGTCAGTAGCATTCATGAAAGTAATGCAACTAGGCAATGCTATCCAATATTAAGTTTCCCAGTTTATCAGTTTATCGACAACCGATAGTATTAACTGATCTTCTACTCTGTGACAGAAAAAGTAATCTTGGAAATGATGACTTACAGGTCTATGGATAAATGTTGAAGTTAATGAAGTTTCAACTAGGATTCAATAAGTATTATTTTATTATTATTCTCCCTTGAATTCCTAGTGGAACACAGGGCTTCAGTAGCACGTCTCCATTCCACTCTGTTCTCTGCAGTCTTTTCAACCTGGCTCCACGACTGCAAAAAAGTTTTCACTTCTTCCTCACATCATGTCCTCCATGTCACCCTCGCCTCGGACGCCCAACTCGTCGTTTCCCATTCGGATTTCACTCGATGGCCTAAACTGATGCGTGATGTCCCCAATCGGCCTTCCCAGTGTATATCCAAACCAATCCATCTCCACTTTTTTCATCGGCACATTTGTTGGGTGATAGGTTCTTGGTTGGTTTGTTGCTAGCCAGAGTCCCTTGTTGCTTACTTTTATTATTCTGACCATCTGATCTTCAGTATCGCGCCAGCGTAGGCAGCAACTGTTGGTGAATAACTATAGTTTGTTGGAAGTGCTTTTCGTGATGCGCCAAGTTTCTGAACCGTATAGCAGCACTGACTTGTCATAGGTATTAAAAATCTGAATCTTGTTCTTTGTGCTGAGTGCGCGGAAATCTGCAAACATTTCTCCATTCTCATTCATTTCATCTAGTGCTTCTCGAATTATGATCACTTCTCTTCCTGTGTTATCCACT